CAGTTTCACTGCATACCTTTAAAAAAGTTATGTTCATTTTCAGATTGACGTGTTTTGTAAAAGATCAAATATGTCAATTTAACATATAAGCAAACCAGCAAAAAAAACACTAACATATTAATACATTTAAAAAAAAAATCAATTTATATGTTACCATTTTAATATTATGTACCAAACCTGTGATCTACTTTCCCAACGGCTAAATCTTCAATAGATATAGAAATATATATATATATATATATATATATATATATATATATATATATATATATATATATATATATATATATTTATATATATATATATATATATATATTTATATATATATATAAACACTAAGTTAGATATATATATATAAATATATATATATATATATATATATATATATATATATATATATATATATATTTATATATATGTATATATTTATATATATATATATATATATATATTCATATATATGTCAAAACACTAAGTTAGATATAGCCAGGTAAAGAAGATTTTAAAATATATCGTAATCACCAGAAATAGAATCAATTTGCTGTTTCCTTAAAAAATAAATATCGATCATTGAGTTACCCTTGAATGGGTAAAACAGTTCTTTAAAAGGGACACAAAATCAAATGAATAGACGAGCTTAAATTTGTGTGTGTGTGTGTAAGTCTGTTAGCGTGTATGTATATAACTGGGGTCCTGTAAAAAGAATACATTTCCCTTTCACATTTTGCTATCACTTAAACCAGGTCTTATTTAAATATTATTATATAGCACTAGCTGATATACCCGTCTTTGCCCGGGATTACATTCGAGAAAATAACTCCAACAGCCTTTTAAATAACATTAGCTTTGTGCAACATGTTAAATGAAAGCCCACTTAAATTTTTAAAAATGATAATTCCCTTGTAATATATAGAAACACATTTATTATAACTTTTGCATAAACATTTGTATCCCGAAGCTAAGGGGTTCCCGATCCCGGTGATATCTCGATCCCAGTGTTATTCTGATACCGGTGGTATCCAAATCCCGTTGGTATCCCGATCCCGGTATCATTGTGTTTTTTCTATAGGATCCCGGTTCTATCCTAATCACGGGTGAACCACTATCCCGATTCTGTTGGGATCCTGATACCTATGGGAACCTTTTACAGTTGGCTGTCCGATCCCGTTTGAATACCGATCACGTTAGGATCTCGATCCCGTTAAGATCCCTTTTTCCCGTTGGGATTTCGATGCCTCTGGATTCCAATTCTGATGGGATCCCAATCCAGTCGCTATTTAAAACCCACAGGTATCTCGATCCCCGTGGCATCTCGATTACAGTGGGGTTCCGATACCAGTGAGTTTCCGATTTCGGTGGGAACGATATTTTCGATAGGTTTCTGATCCTGGTACGATTTTGATCCCGTTAGTATCGCGATCCCGTTAGATTTCCGTTTCCTCTCTTTTCTGATGGGATCCTGTTTCCCAATAGGAACCAAATCCCAGGTAGATCCCATTACCTTATAAAATCGCGTGACCGGTGGGTTTAAAAATGACTTTTCTACTTGGTTATTTTTTAATACAAAAAATTATACAACTAAACGCACTATAACTATAGAAAACTCACTTTGATAGAGGGGCCCAGAAGGGATCCCATTCTATAAGTTTTATAATTAGTTTTGCTTGTTATGGTGTAGCCCTATAAAATTAATCAGATCAGCAATAAAGTAAAAATGTAAAACTTGTCCAGTTAAAATCGAGTTAAAAATGCCATAGATATAGCTTTTTTTTAAAAAATATCGAACTTTCTGGAAAATAAAAGAAGAAAAAAAAATGAAATATGGCCCACTGCCCCAGAGGAATGGATATTCAGTACACCTTGGTATTTGAATATGGATAATCAAGTGTATGGGTACCAAGTTTTGTTAATTTTGTTAAGATCCATAAAATCATGTAGGAGTATTTATTGTTAATTTTATTTATATAGCTCATCTAACAAAAACGAATTTGGGGCCCCGGCCCCTAAAGGAATGTTATGAAAAATTCATAACCCTCTCGAAATGTTATTTTCGGAAAATGATGAATGTGTGTGCCACGTTTAATCAAGTTCCATCAATCCATTTAAAAGCCTTTGTGGAACACAAAAATCCACAAACTCACATATTTTCACTTTTAGATTTATACTAGTGGATATACCCTGCATTTGCCGAGATCTCATTCGGAACGAAGGAACTTCTACAGTCTACACCTTTATAATTATTCCGATCCTAGTGGGCTCCAAATCCAGTCGGTATCACCAGTTCTCTGTTGGATTCCGATCCCTCTAAATTCCAATTCTGGTGAGATCCCAATCCCATCAGTATTTCGGTGGTATCTCGATTGCTCTGAACTCATAACATCAAACTTAAGTAATAATGCAAAAACTTTTACAAAATGCAACATTCAGATTGCAGTCGATCCGCAATACTTAATAATTGACAGGGGGCATTGTCAGCAGTGATGACATTCTTCAATCATGGGATCAGTAAGTCTTTTTGAAACTTAATGTTAGCATGAATGACAAATTGGTCAAGGCATTTTGCAATTTTGAAAATCGTTTTCAATAACCAACAACATTCGAATTTTGTTATCATTAATTTCATTGAAAAGTCAACAATGTTCCTAAAAGTTTTTTTTAACCTTAAATTTGTGTTAAACTAATATTGAAAGAGTACCCTTGAATTAAACTCTAAATTTTAGGGACAACACCCTGAGTGTCATAATCAACACATAATGATTTTAGAAGTCCAAAATTTTCCTAAATCTAATGTATTGCCAAGAATAAAAGTAAGACTGGGATGAAGGGATCAACGTCAATGATAATAGCTCATCTTCAGATGTTATTTCGTCTCTAGCTTGCAAAGCTAAAAAAAACTTTCCACTTGAGTAGTAAACTTGACTTGAGTTGTAATGTGTTTAAAGCGTGGGAGAGCTGCTCAATTCTTCAGTCTGACTATCTCGTCCTTCTCTGTTCGTGCTAATGGGGAGACTATTCAAGAGGAAGGAGTTGTCGGAATTTCAATTGTGTCAATGTCATACCGCCAACCATATTCCATCGTTAGGAAAAGTTTGAGAATTAGCCTTATCTTAAATGAGCTACTATCCAAGGCTTCAATCTTAGCCTTAGCCACAATTAGCCTAAATTAAAGATAGTTTACACTGATGAATATGGCATGTCACAGAAAAAGTTGGCAATTACAAACTTAAAAATTCAGAACTGCTCGATAACTTAGATACGAATTCTGGACATTAATCGATGTCAGAAAACATACATTGTTCAATCTGTTATTTCATTTATTAATGCTTTTTCCTTGTTGCCAAACTCGGCATGCATTTTAGTCCCAAATCCTGACAAAAGATACAGGTTGTGCACTTATTTCAGTAAAGAGTATTGTAATGATAAGTCTGATTCATGATTCATGTTATATTCAAAGTACAGATGATCTCATTGTTCGATTAGGAGATTTCAAATATGTAACCAAGATAGACCTATTATCTGATTATTGTCAGGCTCCTTTGTCTAACAGAGCTTAAACATGTTTCGCTGTCTGCTTTCCAGATGGTTTACACCAAAAGAAATTAATATCTCTTGGAATGATGTTGCTTCCATTAAATTCCAACGCAAAGTAAATCGTGTTATTGCTGACAAGGAAAAAAACTACAGTGTTTACGCTAATGAGGAAATTATTTAAAGTCAAGATTTGTCAAAGTTATTTATTCAAATTGAGACCTTTCTTTAAGAAATTTTGCATGCAAATGTTACTAGAAACTTAGGTGAATTAGAATTTTGTCATTGAACTGTGGAATATAACGGTACATACCAATTAATATTATGTATTCATTGTGGTAGTTCCTACTTGCGGTCGGTAAAATCAAAGATGTCATGGCGCGTCGAAAACTCTCTCTCTCTCTCAACGTTCTCCAAATTGTAGTCGACGGACGGGCTTCTTATTCTCGTTTTAAAACAATATTTTAAAAATAAATCACTATTGCCCTTGGTATAAACAAACATCATGTTGTACTTTTTTTTGTATGCATTAAGAGAAAGATTGAAAGCTGATGCTATATTCTAAAGGAGAATTTTGATCCTTGTTAAACGTTTTTATTGAAATATTATATAAAATTTAAAAAAAATAATAATTTAAATATTTAGCGTTTAAAGACCAGTGTAATGTTTCTATTGAAAATATAATGGTTTCAGAAACACACCTGTAACAGTTGTGAAAAACAAGAGCTAAATCCACGTTAGAAAAGAGGAAAGCACGAGTCTGCCATATCTTGCGGCTTCTTTGATTTTATAAAATAAAACTCGTGTAAGTTTATTTTTTTTTTAAATCAGGCGACCCATCGGTAAACTGATGGTGTCTGAAACATCGTTCCCCCGACACGGTTGAGAGGCTCATGCATAGAGAGCATGGTCAAGAAAAATGTGGTATTTTTAAAGATTAAACATTTAATGTGATGTTTCACATCGCTGGCATCTTTTGGGATTCCAATTTAAAAATAATAAAATCATAATCTTGCTGTAATTGACATTAAAGATATTCTCCCTGTTATTTCTAATCAGGTCTTCAAAACTGAGTTTTCATCCAATATTAGGGCAAGAGAAATAATGTATATTCGTTCTAATTTGCATGTTTCACTTTTTACAATCGAGCTACGATTTAAATTTGCTTGTCAGTAATAAGCATGTCCCAATTCAAAATTAAATAGTCAATGTTACCTTAAATACACAACCCCCCCGGCCCCAACAAAAGTTTGTTTTGTTTTTCCAATTAAGGCTTTAAAAAAAACAACATAAAAAGCAATAAGAAAAACTTTGATAGAATATTTTTTTAATATTATATTAAAGCAGTCTTCACACACAGATATCAGATGAAGTCTTGCATTCAATAATAATCATTAATTCAGTTTCCCATTGAATAGGTTAATTATGGATTAAAACTATTTTATTACATTGTCAAATGACAATAACAATGCTTGTTAAATCTGCCATAGGTCCCTGGTGCAATTGGGAAACGTGTCCGCCGGTCTGCTAAACGTTAAAGATTGGACATTGCTTCTCTAGGTGTTACACTGAATTGAAAGCTAAACAGTACACATATAAAAAAAGAAAAAAATAAATTTTAGTTGTTTTTCAGCTGCTCAAACAAAATATATTGAAGGAGACTAACTGATATTTAAAGGTTTGCATCTTTTAAAAAATACTAGTTACGAAACAGGGGGCACATTAATATTATTTTTATTCATTTAATATTGCAACAAAATAATCATTTATTCCAAAATAAAAATAGAAGTAAATTTTATGTTTTACATACAAATAGACAAAAACGAGTTACCACCCAAACTTAAAATGCCACAATTGCTGGTAACCCCAAGGCCCCCACCCCTTTTACCTAATATCACAAATGTATATCATTCTCATGTAACATATATTTAAATGTTGATTTTTTTTTCTTTTTTTTTTTAGTAGTTAAGTAATTTAAATCTTTACAAACTTGCCTAAAGTTATATTTAAAAAAATGGATTCTAATGTTTATAGACATCCGTTCTAAGACTACATTAATGGCTTCAATCTATTGTGACATGGACTGAACTGTTAAATAAATTCTATGTAGATTTATGAGACAAAAAAAACTGTTGAAAATAAAATAACGTATTCTAAGAATTCATTATGATTTGAAATTGTAAAAAAAAAATGTTTAGGAAAATGTCTTCATAAGTAGGCCTATAACATAAAGTATTGATATAATTATAAATTAAATTTGCATAATATATGTATATCCTACCATGACTAAAAATGAATGAAAAGACAGGATCAATAAGAGAATATGTCCCACAACATAAAACAACAGTAACCAACAGAAAAACTAAAATAATAAAGGGAAGTACAAAACAAAAACCAAAGCGGAAAAAGACATGTCCTGGCATTTACGGTGTACTTAAGGGTGTATCCATTGCGGAATGGTTTATTTAGTTATTTATTTAGGCATTTTTATATCGCGCTTACCTTAAAGCTCTAAGCGCTTTACAGTTATTAAAACATGTAAACTAACTAAAATAAAAATGAGACATTAGGATAGTAACTACTATACTATAGAAACAATTAAAATGTCTATAAAACGAGGACACTTTGGCACGTTTTGGCCTATATTACAGGATTAAGCCGAGACAGAAAATGAGGTAGGGCAACTTTGTTAGCCAACTTTTCATGTCTATTGCATAGGATAATAATATGTTCTTTTTAAAAAAAAAAAATGAAAGTAAACATTTCAAATAACCAGCGTTTTGTTTAATCCGTTTTTGTAAAATTAACACTTACTGAATGATGAAGGGCTTTCCAGGGATATCAGAAACAATAAAGATAAGACTAAACCTTTCAATATAGCAGCATGGCATTCGTATTATATTTTAACGGGACATATACAATGAAATTGAAATTATTATTATACCATTAAATAGATAGTTGCTTGATAATTATTATTATTTTTTTTAAATTTTGTATTTCTAATTATTACATTTATATATTTACTGCACTCTAGTTTTTGGGACTACTAAGTTTGTTTTGAAACCAAACAGCCATTATTTACACCTGCAAGGACATTGCTTACAACGTCATACCATAAATATGTACATTATAGTTTCATAGCCTGCAGTTAAGGACACGTTGCGTTCATACAGTATGCATAATTATATCACAAATATAATCAATAAGTGATATAAAATATTTTATTTTGTATGTACAGCAAAGTAGCATCAATGTAAGTAAAAATGGTCATTGTACTAAGTAAAAGCAATATTTATACATTTTGAACATGCAGAAAAAAAGAAGAATACGAGATATATTCCATATCTCCCACTAACCTCTAAAAGTACCGCAATAATTAATTCCTTCACTATTTACACCGCTATGAGTGTGATATCCTTTATGATCCAACCTACTAAATATAACAACGGGGGCACCCGCACTGCCAGGACATGTACATGTTGAGTATGTATACTTTGTATTCTCTACACCAGTTTCATACTTGTTTAACCATTGACCGATAGAAACATGTTTGGCAGTGCCATGGGGATGTGCAGTTATGATACACAACTTACGTTCATGGCTTAAACTGAAGTAACGTTCATTTAATCTGCTCCTTAAAATTTCACTTTCTCCCATGATAGTCTGTATTTTATTCACAAGATCCAAGTCACATGTATATGCTTTTAGTATGCACCGATCTGATTCAACTTTTGCATCTACAACAGTGAATCCTTCACATATAAAAAGTGGACTATTACCATTGTTAAAGAAAAATCTGCATGACGTATGTCGGGCCTCAAGGTCATCAAAAACTACATGAGTTGCGGTAACTATCCAGATTTCACCCCATTCTTTGCTTGGTGTATCAGAATGTTGACATATGTGGCACTGGCATGTATTGAAGGTGGACTTAGTAACTTTATGTACACTTCCACTCCCAAACCTCAAGACGCCCTTACCTCTCTGATTAAAGTATGGGTAAGGTTCATTTGTATCTGGCAAAAACTCTGGTCTTTCAGTACTGGTCATGTTAACAGCTACACGCACAGTCAGATTAGCGACTGATTTGACGAAGTCTACAATGTCGTAGTCCTGATAATCTTTGGGAAGATGATTGATTTTTAAATCGTAAATCTGTATGAACTGCCCATGTTCGGGATTCTTTTGACAATCTGTTTTTTTTAAAAGGTATAATTTAAAAACAAATTTAAGTGAACCATGTTAATTAAATACTTCCTTAATCCTTCTCTAACTGCTTAGGTGCAATTGCAATTTTTGCATTTTTAAAATGACATACTTCTTTTTTTTTTATTAGACATGAAATTAATAACATTTGTAAATGTTTGTGCTAGAATATGACGACCTATTGTTATAAAATATCAAGCCATTCCTGAAATGTGGAAGCAAGTTGTTTTTAAAGTCATTACACGCGGCATAGCAACACTTGTAGCTTAACATATTTTCATATACAACTGTCAGTTTACGCATGATTTTTGTAGGTTGTTTAGTATCTACTAATTATTTGGTCCTAATTGTTAAATAGAACAGCACATCATCAATTTTCCGATTACCGACTATCCTAAATGAATGTTATTCCAATTGATCCTGATCGTTTATTATTTTGTATCGTTCGCAATTCACATTTCATGTAACATATTATTTTTTTTGTTTGCGTGAACACAACCGAAGATTATTACCACCAATGTCGCTAAATGCATATCAAATATGGATACTTACTATAGGAGTAAAAAAATTACAAAAGTGACCAGACTAGAGAAAATTGTTTAGCAAACTTGTTAAGTAATATTATGTCAAGAATGCACGTCATCAAAAAGAAGTTGATCACACATTTTATTCTCAGAGCAATGTTAGGGACTTGAGTGTATGGTGTGATTGCGTGTTGGTTTGAGATTATGTGTGTTGTTTTATCTATTACTTTTAGTATCTTGTGACGTATTGTGTGGAAAGGGATATGACGTGTTATTATTGTAGATTTGGGTGTGGGGTGTTGTTCTTTGATTACAGTAACGGCAGTTGAAGAATTTGTTGATAATAAAGATATTTCATCTAAGAATTATAGTTGTGAAGTGTATATAATTAAACCGCCCTAGACAACGAAGCCAACGAACCTATTCAATAAGAATAGGTTTGTAACATTTGGGAGGTTCGTCAGGGATTGGGCGCCCATATCCTGCCGTGACTGCATACTGATGTATACGTGTGCTGCTGGTCCTGTGTCCTGCTGGGTTGAATCCTGCTAAACCTGCATCCGGCAATCATTGCATGCTTATGTGATGTTTCCCAGTTTGACGTTGGGCCGCTGCCTGGCTTGTAACCTGTTTGGCCAGTATCCCACTAGGCCTGTATCCTGCAACCACCGCATGCGGCTGCGCTGTTCCCCGGTTTGACGGTACGTTGCTGCCTAGCCTGTATCCTGTTTGGCCGATATCCCACTAGGCCTGTAACCTTCTTGGCCCGAATCCCACTGGGCCTGTATCCTGCGACTACCGCATGCTGCTGCACTGTTCCCCGGTTTGACGTTAGGCCGCTGTTTTGCCTGTATCCTGCTTGGCCAGTATTCCACTGGGCCTGTATCCTGCGACCATCGTATGCTGATGTGCTGTTTCCTGGTTTGACGTTAGTTCGCTGCCTGGTCTGTATCCTGCTTGGCCAGTATCCCACTGGGCCTGTATCCATCGACCATCGTATGCTGCTGTGCTGTTTCCTGGTTTTACGTTAGGCTGCTGTCTTGCCTGTATCCTGCTTGGCCAGTATCCCACGGGGCCTCTATCCAGCCACCATCGTATGCTGCTGTGCTGTTTCCCGGTTTGACGTTAGGCCGCTGCCTGGCCTGTATCCTGCTTGGCCAGTATCCCACTGGGCCTGTATCCAGTGACCATCGTATGCTGCTGTGCTGTTTCCTGGTTTGACGTTACGCCGCTTTCTTGCCTGTATCCTACTTGGCCAGTATCCCACTGGGCCTGTATCCAGCGTCCATCGTATGCTGCTGTGCTGTTTCCCGGTTTGACGTTAGGTCGCTGCCTGGCCTGTATCCTGCTTGGCCAGCATCACACTGTGCCTGTATCACTCTGTGACTGAATCCTAACGTTACTGTTTCCTGCTGTGCACTGTGTTGTACCCCAATTTGACAGTGTACCGCTGTCCGTTCACCACATTAGTGACATGACCAATACCGGTGCTCCAGAGATCCGTGAGGGACAAGATAAAGACTTAAGTTACTTGTTTTATTTGTGTTCTCTTTATAGTTAGGTAAGATTTTGTTCATAAGCATATATAGATAGATAGATATACATACTTTTTGTGTTATATGACATATTTAAATGTATTATTTTAGTCTGTTGTATTGGACCCTGCCCAATTGTTAAATTTATGATTATAAACAATGGAAACAACGAGTGTAGATGAAACCTATATCTTGGAACTACGAGAGTTTGGAGAGGACCTGGGTTATAAAGACGAGGCTCTTACTAGGAGGGTGGAAAGGAAACTGATAGAAAAAGATAAGCTAGAAAAGGAGGAGAGGGATAAAGAACGAGATAGACAAGTTAAGCTAGAACGGGAAGAACGAGATAGACAAGATAGGCTAGAACGGGAAGAACGTGAAAGACAAGTTAGACTAAACCACGAAGAACGAGATAGACAAGCTAAAGAACGAGATAGACAAGATAGGCTAGAACGGGAAGAACGAGAAAGACAAGCTAGACTAGAACGAGATAGACAAGCTAGAGAACGAGATAGACAAAATAGGCTAGAACGGGAAGAACGAGAAAGACAAGTTACGCTAGAACAAGAAGAACGAGAACGACAAGTTAGGCGAGAACAGCTGGACCAGGAGCTGGCACAGGCAGAGTTAATGTTGCAGGAAAAACATAATATGTGGAGAGAAGAATTAAGTAGGAAACAAGTGGCTGAAGTTGAGAAAATGCCAATGTAACTGAGGATAGGGGCACAGAGTTATCCTTAGGTATCCCGTGGAATGTAATGCCAATGTAACTGAGGATAGGGGCACAGAGTTATCCTTAGGTATCCCGTGGAATGTAATGCCAATGTAATTGAGGATAGGGGCACAGAGTTATCCTTGGATATCCCGTGGAATCTAATACAAATGTAACTGAGGATAGAGGCACAGAGTTATCCTTAAGTATCCCGTGGAATGTAATGCCAATGTAACTGAGGATAGGGGCACAGAGTTATCCTTAGGTATCCCGTGGAATGTAATGCCAATGTAACTGAGGATAGGGGCACAGAGTTATCCTTAGTGGCAATTAACCAGGTAAATTTAAATGACTATAGGGTTGACATTAAGGAGGCCAGAAATGTTTTAAATGTAGATGAAAGTCAGGAGTCAGATAGAAATTTTGCTAGCCAGGATGTTGAAAAACTGGGTGCTGCGTGTGAGAAAACTGACGCAGTTGTACTGAATGTAGGCATAGAACAGTGTAGTCTTGAGGATGTTTCAATTGACATAGATACAGTAATTAGAACTGGCCTGGTACAAGAGGCAGATATTGATTTTGTACTGCAAGGACATGTGGGTTTAATACAAGAGATATTTGTTGATTTTGTAAACAAAGAAGATATTGGCTTGGTACAGGAGGTATTTGCTAATTTTATAAATCAGGCAGATCTTGGTTTAGTACCAGAGGGATTTCTTGATTGTATACAGCCAGCAGATGTTGATTTTGTGCAAGAGGGAGATGTTCATAATATTAAGAAGTGGACAAGCTACGGAGATCACGTGGTAGTGGTGGTGAGCTTGTCGAGGGGGCGTATGTTTGTCGAAGGGGCGTATGTTTAACAAGGTAGAAGTCATAGGAGATCACCTTACGTGAAGCTACGAGGGTAGTAGTCCAGTCGGGGAATTTTGTGCTGTAATAGACACTGGTTACTGGAGGCTTGAGAACCGTGAGGACACCAAGGTTAACTTTTTAAATAATGAATATAAACCTGACTTGAAGGCTGTGAGTTGTTTCCCTGAGATGGGGGTAGAAAAGAAAATATGTTTGAATTTTCATGTGTGTGATATTTATGATCACGAGAGCCAGGAGTGTTCTAATTTTGAGAGCCATGACATGTCCGTTTTTCGTAATTTGTTGAACGTGTGTTTTCCATGAGTTGGGAGGTAATGTTGTTGATTTCGTCATTATAACTGGTTTTGTTCATGGTTGCAATTTTAATGATGATGAAATTATTATATTTAAGAATTTAAATGTGCAAAGATTTCATTTGTTAGTGAATAATGTGTCAAAAGGCCATAACAAAATGAAGCAAGTGAGAATTGAGAGGGAAGAGTTAAGCTGGTGGACAAATGTGCGCGCTTTTTGTCAGGCGACTGACACGCGTAATATCCCGCCCTCTTTAAATATGAATTTGGGACTGGACAATTTAAGGATGTCCACATGTGTCAATAGATGTTATTTTTTTTTCCATTGAACAGGCAGAGTTTCGTTTATTTTGTGGTCAATTTTTGTGTGTGGGACAATAATTTTGTTGTCAATTCTATAATTTTTCCTAATTTGAAAGCGTATATAAAATCTAACAGACGTTAACATTTAGCTTTGAAGTTTTCATTTTTAGGATGTAGTTTTCAAAGGCTTGTATATCATTGTTCATTTTTAAAATTAATTTCCATGGTAATAACATTGCGAATTATATTGTATTCTTTCTATGGCAAAACATTGAGTAGAGTTGTGTACAGACACTATACTCCTGTGCCTGAGACAGGTATTTTAACTAGTCAAGGCGGTATAGTTGAATCCTCGTGCAAGATATTCTGGTGATGGTTTCAGAATTTAGTTACCTAGGCAGTATCTTTAGGACATAGAAATGTTTAGATGCTACTGTTTTGAACATGCCTAAGTAGGGGGGATGATTATGTGAACCACTGCGATATTGGGCGACGCTGGGATTTTGACAAGAGGGAGATTTGGATCTTGTCCGAGGTTCGAAAATGTTGGGACCTGGACAGGCCACGATAATCACGACGTAGAGGTCGTGAGCTTGTCAAGGACATTCCTAAAACTGGGGGAGGGGCGTGTCGAGTCCATCTCCAACTCAGACAATTTTGCTGTGGCTAATGGTTTTTATTTTTTTCCCCCATTGTTCGAGTTAGATGAGAGAATTTTTGTTTTCATAATGTACTCGCGAAGATGATATATTATGTTTGGGAGCAGGAATTGCTCAGAATTAAATTGTAAGGGTTTGACTTTGTTGAGTTGGGAGGTGATACTAACAATTTTTATGTATGTTGCCAGATTGGTTAAACATTTTGGGGTGGCAATGTGTTATACATTTCTTTGTAATACATGTCGCTTATTGAAAATGTAATATATCAATTGATTGGTTTACATTTGGTATTTACTCTTGTTAATTGTTTGATGTCTATTGACAAAGTTTTGGATACTGATTTGTGGGTGACATGAATTTTTCAAATTAATGTCAAAGGAAGCGGGAGAGGAATGTTAGGGACTTGAGTGTATTGTGTGATTGCGTGTTGGTTTGAGATTATGTGTGTTGTTTTATCTATTACTTTTAGTTTCTTGTGACGTATTGTGTGGAAAGGGATATGACGTGTTATTATTGTAGATTTGTGTGTGGGGTGTTGTTCTTTGATTACAGTAACGCCAGTTGAAGAATTTGTTGATAATAAAGATATTTCATCTAAGAATTATAGTTGTGAAGTGTATATAATTAAACCCCACCCCCCCCTAGACAATGAAGCCAACGAACCTATTAAGTAAGAATAGGTTTGTTTGTTTGTGGGGTGTTGTTATTTGATTACAGTAACGCCAGTTGAAAAATTTGTTGAAAATAAAAATATTTCATCTAAAAATTATAGTTGTGAAGTGTATATAATTAAACCCCCCCCCCCCTAGACAATGAAGCCAACGAACCTATTAAGTAAGAATAGGTTTGTAACAAGCATATCATCCATTTTCGGTAACGAACACGTTTTACGGAGACAAATCAACTCCTTAACTTTAGTTTTCACCAATCAACTAAGCTGGTAACATCGTATAATGCATTTTAAATTATGTTTAGGCATACATTGTGTGCGCTAACTTCATTAACTAACCTTAACATTGTAGTCAATACCCTTCTGTGTTAGCATTATCCTACAAAGTCGTATTATCTTTAGGTATTTGTAAATATTTTGTATATATTTGTCTAAAATAATTACCAACTTGGTATTTACAATTAAATAAAGCGCTGGGCTGGAGTACGATAGGACTGCATGGGAAAGACGTTCCTGTATTACTTTTAAAAAGATACGTGCATATTTAATTATAGAGGATTCTCCAGCACTTGACCCCTTGTGAAAGGTATAATATATAACAGTCAAGAACATTAAATTATTACTTGTCACAGATAATAATGTTTTACAGCGGAGTTAAAGAATGTTAGAATTATTACATGCTATTTATCGAGTATGAGCACTTGGGAATATGAACCAATCAGAGTAGGAAAAGGTGAATTAGACTACCTTGCTGATGAAATTACCATATGAGTGGAGGAAAATATGAATTGATGAACTTATTTGAACTTTACTGTATTAAAAATATACAATAGACAGTGTAATCTGTGTGACTACCTGTATAAAAAGAGGACATTATTAACTTTAAATTTAGTATTGCTTTCAGAACTAAAGACTCATTGGAAACAATACCTAAAAGAAGAAGAAAGAAACTTATTTAAGATTAATTTTATTAATTGTATTACATGTTGTGTAAAGAATCAATTTGTATCAGTGCTCAAATATTTTTTTTAAACATCATTATTGTCAGAGCACAGATATATTTTTCTTTTAGATTCAATATTTGTGTTAACTTGAAGGATTAGTGTTTTATTAGCAATGTATAAATTGAAATTTTGCCCTCTTCTTAATAAATAAATTATATCATTTGTATTAGAATGTGATTGTCAAGTTTATAAATTGCCTAATCTACTGTAAATTACTGTGTTATCATTTATTAAAGTTTGCTCTTGTTGCGTATTACTTGTCGTGATTTCTCTCGTAAATTCTTCTATCAATTTAAGAAAATAGTGATTTGTTTTTGTTTAGTCCTTTGAGTATGATATATTTTCATTCCTTATAAATATTAAATTATCAATATAAATTGATATCGTTAATTTGATATAATCTTTGAATAGGATATGACATGTGCCTAGATGATTGATTTAGTATACATAGTTAATTGATTTATTATTAGGTATGTATATATTAAAGTGATTATAAATTAATACCAGTGTACATACACATAAAAAATGAAAGATATTAAAGAATTAGTTACAGTAGCTAAAAACATGGGGTATAAAGGTGATGAACTAAAAGAATTTGTGCATCAAGAAACACAAAGAATTGAAAGAGATAAGATTGAAGAAAGAGATGAAAGGGCTGCGAGAAGATCGCATGAACTGGAGATGAAAAAATTGGAATTGGCCAATCCTACAAATAATAGAACACATACAGAAGTTAATAAATCAAGGAATAATCAAAAACATCCTCGCATCAAATAACAACCATTTGACAACAAAAAGGAAAATTTTGAGTATTTTATCAGAATATTTGAAAGACAGTGCAGTTTACAAAATATTAACAAGAGTGATTGGAAGGTGCAGCTATTTTCAGCTGTTACAGATTGAGCTAGAGACTCCCTGGCTTGTCTGCAAAATTTAGAAATTATTGTCTGTTGTTGTTCGTCCGTCGAAGTCGACTAGGACCATCGAGTCATCCGGTTAGGGGGAGGTTAGGATTACGGTGAGCTCGTAGGTGGCTTGGTAGACCGATCCTTGCTCAGAATAATCTATGACACCGTGGGCATAGAAAAGTATCTTCAGACGTGACCTAATGTTGCTCTTTGAGACAAGCCTGCGTGTCTCAGCTGTGGTTATTCTATTAGCTTCATGGGATAAAGCCCCCTTCTTGACAGCAGCTCTCCACCTGGCTCTGTCCTGGGCTGTCTGCACACATTGTGTAGGGTTTATGCTTAAGGCCTTTATTGCCACTTTCATTGAGTCTTTGCAACGCATTTTTGTATCTCCTTGGGAGCGCTTGCCTATCGTGAGTTCTCCGAAGAATAATTATTTTGGGAGCCGGTGGTCTTCCATACGGGCTACTTGTCCCATCCAACGGAGCTGAGACTGCATCAGAGTGGTTAAGATACTAGGTAGGTTTGCTCTAGCGAGGACCTCGGTGTCGGGGACTTTGTCTTGCCACCTGATGTTGATTAGTTTCCTGAGGCAGGTAGTGTGAAAATGATTCTGTTTCTTGGCGTGACGCTGGTAGACTGTCCACGTTTCACATCCATAGAGCAGTGTCATGAGGACTGTTCTGCTATAGACCTTGAGCTTTGTTTCTCGTCTGATACCTCTCCTGTCCAAAACATTGCTGCGGAGCCTGCCAAATAGGGCACTAGCTTTTGCGAGTTTTCCATTCATTTCAGCATCCATGACGACAGATCTAGAGAGAGTGCTGCCAAAGTAAGTAAATTTATTCCCCGGGTTGAGACGCTGTCCACTGATGTTGATATTGGGTTCAAAGTAGGGCGTACTGGGAGCTGGCTGATACATCACCTCAGTCTTCTTTGTGTTGATTGTGAAGCCAAAGTTATTGCAGGCCTCAGAGAAGTTATCGACACTGTGTTGCATGACGGCTTCTGAAGGAGCGTTGAGGGCACAATCGTCTGCAAACAGAATCTCGTTGATCATGGTATGTTTGACCTTGGCTTTAGCTTGAAGGCTCCTAAGATTAAATACTGATCCATCAGTATGAAACCGGATTGGCAAGCCCGTGGTGGAGTCCTTAAACGCACCAGACAGCATTGCGGAATAAATAATACTGAAGAGTGTGGGAGCAAGATCACAACCCTGCTTTACACCGTTTGTGACGGGGAATGCTTGAGTTGATTAACCGTTGTCCTGCACTCGGGTCATCATACCATCATGATGTTAGTGAACTTGTCTGGGCATCCGTATTTCTTCATGATTTTCCACAAGCCACCTCTATTGACCATGTCGGGGCCAGGTAATTTGCCATTGGACATTTGGCGGGTCCACGCTTTTTCCGCGTCCTGTTTGTCCAGTGTGATTGTATCAAGGCGATGATCTAGGCTGTCAACAAAAGTTTGTCTCACATTAGGGATATTCAGTCTATTGATGTTGAGGCGTTTTGGAACTTTTGTGACCTGATGTCGTCTATTAGGTTGGATATGAATATTCATCTTTGAGACGATGAGGCGGTGATCCGTCTAACATTCTGCGCCGCACATGGCCTTAGTCACCCTCACGTCCTGGCGGTCCCTATTTCTGACATTGACATAATCAATTAGCTGCCAGTGTTTTGAACGGGGGTGCATCCAGGAGGTCCGGTTGCGCGTTGGCAGGCTGACATTGATGTTCGTTATTAGAAGGCCATGTTCAGCACAGGTCTGCAGTAGCAGTAGGCCGTTGCTGTTGCACTTTCAAACACCATTCTTCCCAATAACTCGCCCCCCCCCCAGGAGGTGTAGTCACTTCCGACACGTGTATTGGAATCACCAAGTATGATGAGTTTGTCAGCAGACAGTGTGTAAGAGATGACAGTGTTCAAGTCTTCATAGAATTTGTTTTTGGTCTGTTCTGTGTTTGTCATGGTTGGTGAATAGGCACTGACTAAAGTAGCAGACTTCTTTCTATGGCAGAGGGGGACTTTCAACGTCATGAGACGGTCATTTATACCTTTTGGAGACCTGGGGAGCTTGGTTACAAGAGAGGTTTTGATAGCAAGGCCAACACCAGCTTCTCGCCTTGCGTCAGGGTCGCGCCCGCTCCAGAAAAAAGAATAGCCAGCAAGCCTTTCTGTGATTTCACCCTTGCCAGAGAGTCTGGTTTCACTGAGGGCGGCGATGTCTATATTGTATCTTGCAAGTTCATGGGCAATGAGCGCCGTGCGTCGTTGAGGTTTGTTAGAAATGTCCCTGTCAAGCAGTGTGCGTATGTTCCATGTGGCAATTTTAAGTGAAATAGTGTTTATCCTTGTTTTACGAGCGCAAAGATTGTGTCCCCGCTGACCGTGTTCAGCCGGTCAGGGTGTGAAGGAGCAAGCATTCTTTTGGGCACCTATTCTAGCCACTTCGTCATGCATTTAGGTGAGCCTGCCTGTCACCATGAGACTTGGGATGATGAGTATAGTTGGATGACTGATGACTTGCGCGGGTGACTTTGTTTAAAATGAGGAAGAGTTGCGCAGCGTCAGCCTCACTCTCTGTCCGGACCCACCGTGTCCAGTGGCAAGACTATGTCAAGACGACCAGAAATGGGTACGGATGCAGTGGATGACCAAGGTATTCTACGTGCCTCATCTTGCTCTACGCACTCCACGGTGCGTTGCTGTAATCGCCTTCACCTCCGTTGAACCTAAATGTTTTCTTCCGCAGGATCCGCAGACGTCCAGTCTTTGCATGCATTAGGTAGGCAGACCTAAATCACCGAGTGAATGAGGCCCATCAGCTACCCACATCTGGTTTACCCCGCTAGTGTAAGCCGTTGCCCAGGATATGGCAGCTGTTGCATGCTGACAGCTGCGTGGATGAGCTGGGGACATTTTAGTTACAGGACAGGACCAAGGTAGATGAACCGCTCCTAGAAGCACATATGATTCCCCCATCAGGGTAGCTACCTGTTCCTGTACACATCATTATAAAAGTGCGTATCTAAAAATAACAATGATGGCAATAGTTTGTAGAATATTTTCTACTTAAATGACTAAATCCTATAACTATTTATTTTTTTGTGAAATTAAGAATTCCTTCCTTTTGTGTATTAATATACCGCCATCTTGTTGTATCTGGAAGTTATCACTTGTATAGTGATAATGGAGATTGTGTTAACAAAATGTTATTGAAAGAAAAATTACGTTTCCAAAACAAAGATTCTGATCCTGTACAATTTCTTATGCATATATTCCAAAGAAAGAACTATTTCATACAATTATTTTCTAGTGAAATCCATGTTTCCTTACTTTTGTGCTGTTTTGGATTTTTTGCATCTTGTTGCAGCTGGAAGTATATACATTATTGACTACGAAACAATGAAGGAACAACTTTTAAGACATTTTAACAAAACAGAAGATTTATATAGAAAAACAAAAATTCATGAGGCTTATTTAAGAATAAGTGATGATCCTCAGGCATGGACTGAAAATTTATTTCCAGATCTAACTTCATGGATGAGGTTGACACAGATAAACATTTAAGATACAAAGGCATGTAATGGAATTAATTGTCATTGATAAAGCCATTAATTTGGCTAATGAAGGATTATATTCATGTATCAAACAAAGACAAATAAGAGAAATGAGGGGATTGGTTACTGCCATTTTAGTTTAGGGATAGCTATCCCAATGCTAAATCATCAAATAAAAATGATAGTGATAATATTTTATATGCAATTGAAAACAATAAGAGATATAGTAGTAATCCAGACAGAGAAAATACAAGCAGAAACAACTCAACTAGATATTTTAATTGCTGGATTTGTCGAAAAGAAGGACATTTAAGAAGAAACTGTCAAAATTATAATAGATTTAGTCAAACAAGTAGAAGACAAGACTGGAATCAGGGTAGGAAATTTAATTATTCTCACAATGTTAGACAAGAAATGATGACTCTGATAAAACTTGATAATATTTATAAAAAGTAATTATTATAAGTATTTTTCAAATTTGTTTCAAATTTAAAAAAAAAAAATGAATAGGGAGAGTGTCACAGATAATAATGATTTACAAGGGACTTACTTCTTGTAAGAATTATCACGTGTAATTTATAGCGTATGAGCACTTGGGAATAGGAACCAATCAGAGGAGTATAAAGGATTGAGAATATGGCGGTTATTAAGTCAATATTTTTAATTTTATGTGATAAGATAATGAATAGATTATGATTGTGACGTTATCAGGTGGAGAAACTTTATTCTAGATGTTTTTTTTTTAAGATCAGTACAAGTATTATCTATTTGTGATCATTATTGTGAATTATTATTGTGATGTTGTATTAATAAGGGATAGCCACTATTTCATTTGAATCTACAGCGCCTCCTTTGTTATAGAATAGATAGAGATATCATAACTAAATTGTGGTAGACTGTGAATGATTAAAGACGTGACATTACTTTAAGTGTATTTTACGCTTTACATTTTTTTTTTATCATTGCTATGAAAATTATAATACAATGTCTTGCACCCTGCACACAATAAAAATGATTATAACAGTGGAAAAATAACCGAAGTTATCGAATAATCACCAACCGATTAATCGAGTCTCTACAGTACTAATTTACACATCTTTAACTTAATAAAGTGGCGATTTCCGAATAGCGTACATAAATTTACATACACAATATTTGAAGATGCACGTATGCAGCATGAGAACGGTTACAAAGTATGTATTAAAAATACATTTTCAAGGACTTTATCAAGTTTGATATCCATTTTACTTTAAATTCGTTACATAATTATAATAATTGTCTCATACATACTTCTATAGTGCCTGTGCAGGTTTGCAGATCCTGTGTATATTTCTTTAGCATTTGTGTCAGATGATTCTTCTTCTTTTTATCGGAATAGAAGAATTAAAGAACAGTATAGGTATGAGCATGAGTTAAAAAATGGACATATATACATGTTGAATATTTAGAAATTTAAATCAATTTAAAAAAAATAAAAACAATAATAAATACAACTACTGTAATTTAAGTAACTATTAACCTCTTTAATACAATATCGTATCCACTGAAATATAACGTGCACATACTTCGGAAATTGGTGTTTTATTTCATTTAATTAATTTATGTTTATTTTTAAGTTCATGATCATGTTTGTGAAATTGCATGTACAGCGTGGTGAGCCCAGCCCTAGTCTGGGGGTACCACGCTATATAAAACTAATACTGCTAATAATAATAATTTCAAATTTAGAAATGACGTCAGCGGGCAGTCGAGTCGAAGCTTTGTATGCCCTCCCGCAAAGCATCACCCGGAAGCCTGAGTATTGAGCTCCGAAGCGGCACGACTGAGATCTACCTTTGCCAGGACAGCCCCAACACGCATCCGCTCGATCGTGTTCATCAATGGGGGCCGCCCTAGCCCGAGGACATAAATTCGGCCGGACGCTGCTTGCACAGTACCAACAACAGACTTTCCCATGGGGACGGGATGGTGTATTTATATCCTAAAATCTACGCCCTCCCATCTTAGAAGCATCAGACGCAATCTTATAGGGATTAATTTAGTCTGCCTCTAACTCGCAAATAATTTACGAAGCAGCGGGGACGAAACGGTTGCCTAGGAACAGCTTCCTAAATGATGTGTAAATAGAATCACATGCATGAGATTACCACCAACCACCTCATGCATCATATCCATTAACTGCAACATGTAATCATGAGCCTTACTCCGTTTTCTGCCTTTTATTTTCAATTGCAGATTTCCAACAGTTAGTAGCCCTGTAGATGCTACCATTTACGACAGCGACCATGCGTGGCCTTTGTCTGCCCACTTAGGCACACCCAATGGTTCCCCCCCCCCCCGGGTTCTCTTGGGGGTCAGGTGCCCGGCGCCTCTCAATCGAACCAGAGCCCCTTCGGAGTCTTATCATATACAATTTAAGAACATATCTCTTGACCTCTTTTTATTTAACCGCAGACATACGAGCATGAATAAACAAAAGTTCATATTTTCAATTGATAAGCTACACATTTAAAACTCCTTTACAAACTATTAGCATTATTAAATTAAAGTTACTGTCGTTTAAGAAACAGACAACTCTTTTTCATACATGAACTAAACGACGAAGTTTTAAGACCATTAACTTTTTCCCGATTTATTTAACTTTATTTGCGTTAGCTTCGATTATTACTGTAAATACTGTTGCTTGACTTAGTTGAGGATACATTTTCATTCAAGAGCATTTTTATTTATTAAAATAGACTACCTTCTTTCATTTCCTTCGCTAGAAAAAAAAATACATATAAAAGTGTAAAAAAAAATGCATCTTAGTTTACTTTGAACTATAATGATAATCCTGTAACAGTGCTTCCTTAAGATGATTGTTTAAATATAAACGACACAATGTAACTTCGCCTTAGAAGCACCAGAATGCAGGGTTTCTTTCAGGCATATCTCCAAAGGGGGGGGGGGGCACTACCCCTGGGGAAAGGCAAGTGTTCCCCAGAGCAAAAATATGTACAACAATAAATCGTAAATATATTTTATTTTAAAACAAAAATAGTCATTTTTTAAACAATTCTAAAAATAATATTAACTGGTGTCATTAACCGATAGCAATCTGTGGAATCAAAGAAATATCACTACATTCGATACATTTTACATTCCGTATATTGAAGGTTAATCATGTTATAATCTTACATTTAACGATTATAAATATCGAAATATTTCTAAAATCTACCGCGTCCGATTATGAGCAGAATTGATACTTCCTGTTCTTTGCATGCATTGGTATTTTTAATTTAAATATTTTTTTGAAAATTCACAAGTTTAAAACCTTTAATAACATTGTAATACACTAAATTTCCTTCGATTTTAAGGTCTTTAATCTTTATACAGTTCTAAGTAAGTGTCGATAGGCATTTTTTTTCATGGTTTCAAATAATATTTCATGATAAAAGCATTACTTTTATATTTCATGATAAAAGCATTACTTTTATAGTATGAAATATAGTTCATTATAAATTGAATGATGGCCTAATTCTTTTTTTTTTTAAATGTTATTATTAGAACCATTACTCGATTCCGTGTACATTGAGCTAGATACAAGATAAAAATGGGCTGGTCCACTGCTTAAATAATTAAACAGAAACTCGTCCCTGTTCCCCTAGACAGCCACGAGGCCACAGGCAGTTCCGTCTCAAGAAAGTAAGAACACATTACAGGTAATGCTAATGCATGTCAAAGACAACCAGGGACAAGAACAATCTTCCAAAAGGAACAATTGAGGCGACAACATACACTTGGCATATTTGCCTCTATTGCCTAAGGTCTTGCAAATCCCAGTTTATGATACCCTTTCTCCTTTACTAGGCACAAACACATTGCTAGTACCTCTACATATATGGGAGCCAGAAATATCAATATATTGGGCCCTTAATATATAGAAGAAAAACAATGATGATACAGATTGGCACCAGGGGCGTCACAAGAGTTGTTTGAATGTTTCATCGTGTCAATATCATCTCCGGGATTTGAATTTAATTTAGAATGTCATTGTCTTGAAAGACTTGCTATCAAATGTTAACGAGTCCCATCCACCCTATTAGCTGGTGATGAGTTATTTTGATTGGGCTTTGAACTCCAGATCACGATTTTGAGATTGACTCAGTTTCGAATCCTCACCCCCCCCCCAAATAATATTTAAGTGACAACAATTACCAAGGAAAAAAAGCATACCCTCTAGGGCTCCAATTCTGAAATGAATCTAGTTCATGTTTTTAACTGGGGCTGAGTTAGAAATATTTTTGACCATTATTTTTGCAAATTTTGGCACTTCCCATCCGAAAGTCTAAAATGCTCTCTTACAATTGCCTAAAAGAAACACCGAATTGAAGTATGCGCCAATGCATCCCTCTACCCCTATTTTTATTTTGCCCAAACGTCATAGACACTCCCCTCCCAGAACGCTGATCAGTGTGACAGTACCGGGTTGAATCTAAGGGTTCGACAAATAGTTCATCTGGGGCGTACACCAGATGGAGGAAATTTTATTTATGTTTGGCAATGGGCACCTTAATGCCTTCCCAAGATGTTAACAAAAAATTCATTCCTTTGATTAATAGAAACAATCAAATCAGTTATACTCAAAAATGCACCTCTTGATTTTGATATAATCAGAAGTATGCACTCACTTTCACAATACAAACTCTGCTGTTATCCGAAAACAACGCAAACCCCCCATAATAATTGAAAATTACCAACTGGGCGCGCCACTCCCTTCGTGTCATTTCTACGCCTCTGGCAGAGGTGTTACTAGAGGCTTTGGCGCTAAGGGTCAAGAATCATTTTACTTCGCCACTCAACTCAGAAAGCCAATATATTATCCATACTGCCAAAAACATTTTATCGCCCCCGTAAGACTGGCAACCTGGGATCAGTCCCATCTGCCCCCTTTTGCTGCCGACTGTGCCACCGTCCACCTCCCTCCCCCCCCCTGCCCCGAAAATTTGAAATGCCTCCAGGGGTAGTTGTCTTAAAGAAACACTGCCAGAATGTCATTTGATGGAGTAATGTGATGGGGGAGGGCAATAGACTGATTACTAGAGCTTCATGAGAAAGCTATTGTTATAACATTTTTTAAAATATTCATCTTATTTATTAAACGGATAATATAAATGTATTTTTTTAAAATTAAAAATTAGAAGGGAAAAAAGAACAAGAAGGAAAAAAACGAAAAAAAACCACTTAATAAATAGAAAATACTGCTTACTTAAATAACAATTTTTGTTAAGCAGGTCAGATGCTCTTGGTCTCTTTCTTGGATCTTTTTCAAGTGTTTGATCGAGAAATTCTTTTAGATCTTGGGAGCACCTGAGATTAAGGTTGTAAGCTGGAGAAGGATTTTCTCCACCCAATCTGAATAAAACTTGTTGTTGTTGTTGTAGATCTTTAAACGGAGGAGATCTGGTTATCATTTGAAGAACTGTGCATCCAAGACCCCTAAAATATGTACACAGTTATTTATTAATTTTTTAAAATTATTTATCTTGTAAAACAAAAAAGTTAAAGCGTTTTATTTTCCTTTTATATTTGTAAACAAAAACTAAATTTTGTAATAATATTTAAGCAAGGCACACATTATTTAAATGTGTAAAAAATTGTTTGAACGTAGTGGTAAAGGTAAAATGTGTTCAAAGAAAAATGAAATATGTTATTGGAAGTTTATCGAGTAGGATTTAACAGAAGAAATGTTGCATTGGAAATTGATTATAGTAAAATGAAAAAGTTTCCCTCCGGAATTATAGTGTATGCTCATGGGCACTCGCCTTAAAGATGTCTAAGGGCTGAGAAAGGAAACTGTTGGTGTAGGTACTAGACACACGAACAAAAGATGATGGATTACTTAACCTGGCATTGGCATATATTATAGTAGTACGCTAAAGATATGATAGCTTTTGAGGCAGGGAGACACCAGATGGATTGTGGGAGAACCCAGTTCTAAAATGAGTTTTCTTGCTAGCTGGTCAAACTGGAATGTTCATGCAGTCCTTGGGTAGCGTTAGATAAATTATCAACTTCAGAAAAACCCTCAAAGTGATAGATGCTAATAAGCGGGTAGAGCGTCCGGAGGGGAGGGGGGTGGTAAAGGATCTAGTCGCGAGAATGTTGTCTTAAATGATGTAGCAATTCAATGACCGTGGAACGCGTATCTAGTACAATGTTTAGTGCCACACGGGATATTTAAGGTTAAAGTATTTCGAGCACGTGTAGTAGATTACATATTCATGGAGGAACATTCTAAAGTGAAAGACGCAGTGGTACTAATTGTAGTCAAAGATACACTTAGGGGTAGACAGTTACAGTTGCATAGCTAAGATTTTTGCCACCCGGTGTAGTAAACTCTTGTTTTCACCCCCCCCCCCCCCTTTCCCCTTCTAAAGTGAAAGACGCAGGGGTACTAATTGTAGTCAAAGATACACTTAGGGGTAGACAGTTACAGTTGGATAGCTAAGATTTTTGCCACCCGGTGTAGTAAACTCTTGTTTTCACCCCCCCCCCCCCTTTTCCCACATTACTTCCAGGAGGGATTTTGATAAGTAAAACGTATAACAATGACAGGAACAAAAGCAAGTTAATTTTCTCCCTTTCAATTGATAGAAAAGCCGGATCAGTAAGCCTAGATTGTCCCACTGTGGATCGTAAATAGGTCTTAGTTAAAAAAAATATCCACTAACATGACGGCACAGACACACAGATCGTATGAAACAACTAAAGGCTTAGCGTGGGTATTAGAAGAGATGCTCGGAAGACTCATTCAACCATTAATTTTAAAACATCCAATTTAGACCAGTCCATTTAAAAAAAAAATGAAATTCAATATAATCATTTTTTCAATTCTTCGAAAACTTAGTATTTCTTTTAAAGGTTCCTCCTCTGATCAGTCATCGTAGAGAGAGTTTAATTTTGGAACCTACATCAATAACTCTTCTTCATTTGGGTTGAACGCCCCAAAATTCAACAATTGTATGATTTTTAAAATGCATTATCAATAGCATATTCCACCGAGTGACGCAGAGACTGCCAAATAAGATTAACTACCTCAAGTAGATAAACAATCAAATCACAGACAGCATGTAAAAGACATTGTACTGTATGGTAATAGTGCTCAAATTTTAAGAGGTGGTAGTGACGAATCGGAAAAAAAATATTAACTGCTGGGTTATTTCTGGCTTTTAATTTGGTTACAAAAATTATTTTTATTCAAATGTCCAATTTTGTAAAATATATTTTTGGTCAAACCAATGAAATAAAAACAAACAGTATGTTTTAATGTTTTTAATTTTTACTGATTCGATTCATATAGCTTACTGTCACTTACGACATTAATTAACACTTCATTTGACTTTGAATCATGGTCAAAACGGTGTTGATCTGACATAAGCATAAGGTCACCTCATTTCTGACGCATCACTTTGAACATTTAATGCAACACGCATTTGGGATGGTTATATGTGTGGACAATTGAAGCATGCTAATGCTTCTGAAATATTACATTAAGAAATGGCGTCAGCGGGCCGTCAAGCACGTGCTCTTTATGCCCTCCCCAAAACATGCCTCTCCAACCCGGTATCGGGCCGTGAAGCGGACGTCGGGGATGTCCCTTTGTCAGGATGGTCCCCACCCGAGTCTGCTCGACCAGGGTCTCCACCGGGGGCCGTCGTAATCCAAAGACACTCGGTCGGTCCGACACTGTGTTTGCACACAGTGCGCTCGATCGAGTTTCTCAGGAGTCAGGATGGAAAAATTTACGTCCTAAAATCTTCTCCCCACCCATCCCGGGGAAGCGTTAGACGCCCTATAAGAGGGATTCTACAGTGGGTTTCCACAACGCAACTAATTCGAGCTGCAGCTGGGACGAAACGGTTGCCTTGGAGCAGCTTCTCAGGGCTGCAGATTTTACCACCTTAGCCTCTGACCTCATATCCAGTAACGGCAACTTGTAATCATGATCCCTACCTGTCTATTCTTCCAGTTGGGAAGTATCACAACTGGCAGCCCTGTAGGAGCTGTTTTATTTACGGCAGTTACCGAGCACATCCCTTGTCTGCCCACGCGGGACGCGCCCAGTGGTCGTGTTCCCCAGGGTAATGTTGTGGGGGTCGGTGTCCGACACCTACTAATCGACAAGCCACCACAGACTTTGTCAACCGGAGCCCGGGGAAGGCTAATACTACTGAAAGAATACGATTAGTTTCGTTATAGTTCAGCTTAAATTCGTCGGCCTAAAATCTACTTTTTTGGTAACCGATTTATTACACACTATACCATCAGCCAAATCAAATTCTTTAGACAGCCACACATTCACAAAGACATACATTAATTAAATTCCACGTTTGAGTGTATATTAATAGTTGAGGGTTGAATATTTTATAGCAAAGATCATAGAAACTACGGCCCACGTGATACATTCGGCCTGACAGAATTCCTTAACCCGACCCACCTGGCCGTCGTTTGGTCGTCCCTGTTAAAAAAAATTAATATGTAACAAGCCAAGGTCAATGTCATTATCATAAAGCTGTCAGATACTTTCCATTAAATTGCTAATTAAATTTTTGGCTCATTTTAAATTGTGTATTTTTCATGTTTCACAAATGATTTACTGTAAATAAAATACAAGCAGTTGTTATAATAATTTGTTTATTCATAGTAAAACTGTAATTCAGCCTCCAAACGGTGTCTGGGGTCATTGAAATTACCTCTAAGAGTCCGATGGATCGGCCCCCGTCTTATAAATATTTGTTATCCTAGTTTTAAAATCTTCAATATAAGTAATATTTCGTAAAAATTGTTCCATACAATATTATAATTTATAACCAAAGTTGAAGACATAAAGCTTTAAAATTGTCTACCATATATCCACTTCTTTTCTGTAGGATTTGGACAGCTGCTCAGGGGCCATCCATCGTGCTGTTCCTATTTCTGCGGTGGTTGCAATAGATATTTTTTCCAATATTTTAGAAACACCAAAGTCTGCGAGTTTTATGTGGAACTTCTCTCGAAGCAGAACGTTTCCACCTACATTTTAAAATTAAAATGTTACATAATGTCCCTACTGTAATAAAAATTATAAACGTAAAAAAATAAAAGTAACCTTTAATGTATAAAGTGAACAGAGTGTCAAAATTCATATTATCACTAAAATTTATTTTATTGAACAATATTTTAAAAGAAATTGTGCGTACATATTTATTAATAAATGATAAAATTATTTATTTAATTTCTGCAGTAGGTAACAAGAGGGAATCTACAAAAAAGATTTAAGATTGTATACATTAACGGAAAAATAAAAGTTAACACATCAGAAATAACGAAGGGGAAACATTTATATTAGCGACATTAACAAGACGTATCTTCGTTTATCGCTGCGACTATTTGCACCCGGGTATCAGAAGTGAGAGGTTGAGATTAAAAAAACAACTATTTAAAATATCACTGTTGGGTTTGTAAGACAAAATGAGGTATCAAATGAAAGATAATTGAATGGACTATGTGTTTGCAAACTTTATTATTACGTTTAACTAAAATAGACTAACACAAATAACTTCCGAACATCATTGAATTTAATGGGACCCTGGGTCGAATGGCGGCGATGCGTGTCCGTGTCCATTTTGGCTAAATTGACTAAATATTAGAGACAATTTTTTTTTTTAAAACAGTTGTTTTTAAACATTTTTTGTAGTTCAACATATATCAATATTAATTCCACACAAAATCATATTTATGTCTAATAATATGCAAAAATAGTGAAAATTAACTGATATTACAATACATATATATTTCTTTATTTACCTTTCACATCTCGATGAATGATATCTTTCTGGTGTAAATATAGCAATCCTTCAAGAATTTGTTTGGTTATGTGAAATATTTCAGTCTCGGAAAGGTCAGGGTTGCTCTCATTGTAGATATAATTGTCAAGTGAGCCCTGTGTATGGAACCAGTGATTTACAAGCAACGTTATTAATTTAAGTGAGTTCAAGAAGAAAACAATACTAAAAAATATTTTTAAAATAAAAAAAATAATAATTCACCTTGTAAATGAAAAGAGCAATTAATAGAAATATTAACTAAAATATAAAGGATGCATTTCTTATCACATTAACATAACTAATAAATAGCCCATAACTAAGCCAACAATTAAAACTATACTTAAACCTACAAAAAAATATGTATTTTCTTTTAGAATTACAAATGTAAAAAGAATATAAGAGGCAATTGAATTTAGAATGCATTATTCTGATGATAGTTGTAAATACAAGTGGTGACTAGCTGTATACCTGTGCTTTGCATGGTGTATAAAGGAATTCCAAATATAATGTATGTAAAACAGTAATATTTAAATCATGATAAAGCCTTTGTTTTCAAGGCAATCATTAGACTTTTTTTATGTACTTTATAGTAGATTCCTGATTTACTTCAGGATGTCTTTTGCGTTCATGAAACCGAAGATTTGTAGACTTTTACGGGGTGTATTTGTTTCAAATTTTAACTGCAGCTCTTTTCACCCTTAAGGGTTGCTTTAAATGTATAACTTGACATAAATCCTATTGTTATGAAGAACACTATTCCCGTTCCGTGAACTTTGTTTGAACCCCAAATTAGATTCCTAGCAGACGCTAACGTTTGTCGTGGGCGTGGTTTAATCTCTTTGATGTATCATGTTTATTACCGACTACAAATTAAACATAGTTAGGATGTCTCCTAGTATCTTGTGGAACGTCCTCGATTGCATTACAAAAGTAAGGGCGTTTCTAGACGCTTGGGTAGACCCACATATATATGGGATTGAAAGGGATGGAGATTCAGACGGAGATTGATAGATACTTTAATTTGACGAGACGTGTATTATTCTTTGTGTACTCATTTACATTTATCATTCATCACTATTAATTGGAAAATTGTACTAATTGTGTACCGGTACGAGATTTTCCCATACTCTGTAAGTTGATGATTTGTAATTATATTTCTTTTGTTTTGGAATTGTAGTATTACTAAATTAAATCTCAATTATGTGTAATTGGCAACTGTTTTTGCGTGTCGTAACTTTATTATTGTTTTTTTTTTCAATGGTATCGTCCTTTGTTGTGCACGGTGTGAACGTGCCATAAAATTAAAATAGGATATTAATTTCTCACAATAGAAGCCAGTGCGTAACACCTATGGTTTTATCTTAGTTATGTCAACATGCATTGCTCCGCGATTTTTTCCTCTTTTTTATGAGTAATTTAAAAAAAAAAAGTTGTTGTTTGAGTATGAGAGTCATAAAGACAGAGATTATCAGTCTTAATTCTTTGAAGAAATTAAATAACGGCTAATTCCTTTTTAGGTTTGTCAGGGGCAAATTGCAAAGCAAAAACATTTCAATTCCAGTACATATCTGGAGAGCAACATGGTGAAGGGTATGAACATATCGAGGTGTAAAAGGCTAAAGCGAGGAGACATCAATGTAATTAGTAATATGGATTCTCCCTGTACAAGCTCTTTAGGCATTATAACCACCTCGGGCATCACAATGCCTACAAAGTTGTATGATTGCATTTCAGATGCATCCTGGACTTCAATTTTGGTAGCGGATAAGGTTTGAGAGGATATTTGGGCCTTGTATTTTGAGACTATTTTGTAGATGCTACTACGTGACATTATTTTGTATTACTAGAATTGAGGAGGAAAATAAGAGAAGTGCTTCAGACACAGCACAATTTTTCAGAAAGAAACTTCATCGAAGTGGTCGCAGTAGCTATACGATATACGGGTGCTGGGTGGCCGAGCGGTCTAAACTCTCTCAAACCAAACAGCTGGTTGTCTGGAGTTCAATCCCCACCAAAGATAACATCCCAAGCACCCGGGTGGATGGGACCCGTTAGCCTTGGACGGCAACACATCTAAGAGAAGGCAAACTCTGAATTTAAACCAGGAGCCAGAATGATCAACTAATTGATCGTGGGCCCCTCAAAAATAAGAAAACAAAATAAGAAAACAAAAAAACAAATAACACTTAACATTGGTGCCTTATATAAAAGTTGTTAGAGTAACCAAAGCAATGTGTGGAGCTAAATGCGTTACTGAACATCGACTAATAATATCCAAATTTAAGTTTCAGGCCACACACATGAGACGACATCAAGGCCCGAAATTTAAAAAATGTTTTTGTGAAACACTTTTATTGTAATTGAATGAAGACTGGTCAATATTCACTCAGGAAAAAAGAAAAATTATATTCAAAAGGTTTATATAGACAGATACTATCTACCTCATTGCCCAAGAATAAATTGGACCATCAAAACGCGGAAAGAGTGAGTTGTTTAATGAAAATGTTTGTAAATACAGTCAATACTAAAAGATAAAGATTAGGTGCTGACTTCTTATCACAATGTCAGGGCTATGTCGATTGACATGACACTAAACTTTTCTACGATTCTATAAAAGAAGCCAATGGACCACAGACGTCAGACTGCTTGCTTCCGTTAACAAAGATAAACTCATCCGCTTAAAGACTAGAGTGAGATTTTAGAAAGATTGGCCCTACAAGTAAGAATGACATAACTCGTTTACCACAGTTGGGTATAAACCAATAGCTAGATAATAGCCCCAATGTAGATGAAGTCGTTGGACAATACAGCAATCATCCGAAATAAATTCAATGGACTTGATGCAATACGTGTTAAAGTCCACAAAACAAGTGTCCTGTCCTATCAAAAAGATTGACAGTGTTACTGTTCCTCAGAACTTCAAAGATATACATATAAAATGCATATATAAGGTAGTCTCAAACCCCGTGACAACTATCGAGACATTACTCTCCTTTCCATAAGTAGGAAGATCTTGCCCGGAGTCATACTTTATCGATTAAAACTACAACATGAACAAGGGACTACTTTCTGAAAGTCAATGTGGATACCGTTCAGTGCGGGGCGCAGTTGACATGATATTTGCAACACGCAAGCTGCAGGAAAAAGATCCAGACTGTTGTATATCACATTTTTTTTTTATCTAGAAAAAGCATTTGACTCAGTCAGTAGATATTGCCTTTGGAAGGTAATGATGCAGACGTAACGGCATTGGAGATTGATTTTTGAGATAACTGTGCCTTTTTCTGTAACTAGTGACATGAACAAAAAAAAGCGGAATTCTAGCAGCAATACTTTTAGCATGGTATTCTGAGCAATGGTACATGATGAGTTTGTTGACAATAATGACGGCATTCCTATAAGATACCAGACCAACGGAGGGCCATCTAATATTAGGAGACGGCAATCTATTAGAAAAATTAAAGAAAAGGTTATTTAAAACTTTGTGTTTGCTCCCTAATGCTAGCAGTCAATACGAAAAGAACCCTGAGAACTTTGACCACCGACCTCTTGGAAAAGCTTTCAATGAACCTAAAATATAAGTGATAGAACATAATCTCCAGCTTGTGGAGAAGTTCACATAGTTTGACATCACACACTTCTTGTAAATAACAACAGATGATGAAATCAATAACCTAATTTCCAAAACATTTTTTGCCTTTTGAAGGCTCCGCAACTGTGTTTGGGAGAAAAGTACTATAAGTTTGTCACTAAGCTGAAGGTATATGGGCCAATAAAATTAAAATCTCTGTTATATGCTAGTGAGATGTGGAAATTATAAGACAAACAGACAACTAAATCCTCTCTACCTAAGCTGCCAATGTAAACTATTAGGCTTTGGGTAAAAGGACTTAATCCCTGATGCTGTAGTCATATAATGGGCTGTATTTTTCAGCATCACACATTCATACAAAAAAGGGAACACCAGGGTTCGCATGGCATGTTGAAGGAATGCTAGACGGATGACTTTTCAAACGAATAACTTTCGGTGAACTCGCCAGTAGGAAACATTCCTCTGATTGAAAGAAAAAAACGCCTCGAGGATTCTCAAAAAGCTTAACTTAATTCCACGAAATTGTGTCTTCGTTTGAGACACCTTCCATCGATCGTGAAAGATGGCGCGTCAGAATCACTGACGGGACACATCCCCAGAGAATAAGCGCACAGCTTTAAAAAAAAAAGATAACGGGAAGAATAAAAACTAACCATTCGAATAGTTCTCGGACCCAAAAGAACCTTTATCTCAAAAGTGAGAAAACTTTCAAGACACCAAATATCTATACACACACATTTACTAGATACCTAACTAGATATAATAACAGATTGATGATATAATGAATGAATGTTTTCATTGATGAATCAATACGTACATATATAAATAGATAATTTAAGAAAACAATGAAAACCTACCATCGGCATAAGCTCCATGAATAAAAATAGAAGGTTGTCTTTTTTACAATATCCATAAAATGGGACGATTCTCTCATGGTTTAGCTTTGCAAGGATTGATATTTCTTTTTCATATGACACCTTAGACAGAAATATATATATATATATATATATATATATGTATCTATATTTAATTTTCCAATGTGTAAATTATAAAAAAAAATCTAATCTAAATAATTGAGCACACATTCCTTGAATTAAGTACCTTCAGAAAAAATAAATTTAAATCTCAAAAAGTGTTCATTACTTTGAAGGAATTTTTTTTTTTTAAATCAGTTTATAAATTTAATTATTATTCTATTGTAACTTTGAATTAACCAAATGTTTATCATCTCCATCATGTGACGCAGTCAACTGCTTCACTGCTAATGGAACAGTCGTGTCCCTGTCGTTTACAGTCATACAATAGACTCTAGCGAATCCGCCGCCACCAATAAACGTCCCCTTTGTCCAGTTGGTTGGTTCCGTCACACCATCTTTAAAATAAAGAGTTTTTGAAAGGTAGTTTTAAACAATGTTAATCTTCAAAAACAACAACAAAAAAAAACAACACAAAAGCATTGCTTATTTTGTGAATGTTTATTTATTTATTAAACATAAAGAATAAATATATATAATTATAAATAAATATATATATATATTATATACTTTTGATTATCTTATGAGATGGAATTTTTTTTACTATTCATGAAATTGTACTTTATTAATAGAATAGAAAATGCCAAATGTATTCATAATCTTTATTTTTAAATTGCACAATTTAAGATAGTAATTCCATTTTCTTAAATTAAAATGTCCTTTTTTAACTTTAATAACATTTATTATTTTATTATTTTTATTTTTTTCTTACATTTTCCTCTTATTTTATTTTATTTTTTAATGTTACAATTTGGTACCTCCGAATAGTGTCGTAGTGAAATTAAGTTCCGAAGGATCGTACTCAAAAGCTACTTCAGAATCCATTCTTGATTGTTTAAATCAATTAGCTTTTTTGTTTTTTGTAAGCTAAAATTATCTGTATAGAAATATAAAAAAGAAACAAGTTTAAATTTGTCATAAAGGTTGGTGTGCTAACTTTTTTTAAAAAGAAACATTTCCTTTTAAATTAATATCCTATGCATATGATGCTATTTTCAATACACATTTAACATTGACCCGATCAGCTGAACATAGTTATCATTATCTGCAAGTGATCTGTGTTGTCCATGTGGAACTCGAACGTGGCATACAGTTTTGGGTGTGACAGAAGAAATATTTGAAAGACACCCTGATATCCTCATTGAAAGAATTTAACGGAAACAAAGGCACTTGGGAAAAGTCGGGATATGATCGTGTCTCCCTGCAATGCAAAGCCAACAGAACAGTTGTCGCAGAGCACAAAATCAATCCTGAGTTATCAGTGAATCTTGAAAATTCTCTGGAAAACATCACTTACACCTTTCTGCTTATGAAAATTCCGTGACAGTATGGGCCTTATCAGCCATATGTGCACATCATCAATACGATGATTATAATATTTATTGTCGATTCGGCGGACGAACAAACAAGGAAAATCTTTAACTAGTTAATATTGCAATTATTTTACGTCAAGTTCTTTATTCATACCACAGTTAGACAATTTTTCTTATATACATTTTTTATTATCTTTTTTTCAATACTCTTTAGAGTATTTAAAGTTAAAGTTATATTTATTATTACATATTTTTTTTTGTATTTTGTTTTAATGTAACAATATTTAATGCAATGACATTGGTATACTAATAGATCAAACTTACTTCTCTATATTTAACTAGTGTATAAATAATCTACCCATCACTAAATTGTCAAGTACAAACTAACGTGTATATTCTGGTGAAGATTTGAGATTACTCTCCTATGACCCAGGCTAGTACACTTTCTACCAGCTTCATCTGTTGAGCTGAGCATATAAAATGTTCCACACGTAGGACCATCCGGCCGTCCTGGCCTCCACTGAAACATCTAGTGAGGGGACATTCGTTCAACAGATGCGCTTGTGTTACTGAGACCCTGCTGCAATGCATGCATAGTGGGTTCCTGGTGTCTTAATGTGTTAAAATATGTGCCTATGGGACAGTGCCCTGTGCGCATCGTTGTCACTAGACTCTCGGACCTTTTACCTAGCCCCAACAAAGGAACTTGTCTGCTAGAGACAGCATGTTAGCGAATCCACCTCTGGCTGGCCTGATGTCCACCCACTGACTGTACCATTTGGTACTAAGTATACTAATCAATTGTATTTCTCATAATTACTACAAAACAAAGAACCGGTTCAAGTCATTTTGAATCAATAAAGGCGTGTAATAAAGTAACTAATTCGCTGTATCAATTGTAATTTCTATAATAACATGTATTGCCGTGTGAATGACTAAATAATACATTGACAGGATGAATATTTTGGCTGCGACTATTCCTACCCGGGTACCAGAAGTGAGAGGCTGGGATTTAAAAAAACTTTTAAAAATTTTATTTTTGAGTTTGTAAGACAAAATGAGATGTCAAATGAAAGATAATTGAATGAACTATATGAGTGTAAAATTAATTCTTCAGTTTAACCAAAATAAACTACCACAAATTACATCCGAATAGCTTGAGACTAATGGTACCCGGGTGCGAATGGCGGCGCTGTGAGTCTGGGTCCATTTTGAATCAGTGCAACAATAAAATTTTAAATATCTTTTTAATCCCAACCTCTCACTTCTGGTACTTTGGTACGAATAGCCACTTCGGGAATTGTTTGCCTTTTTTTTGTTCATCGTATATGTGGGTTAACTGCTACAGCCGAAGTGTATACAAACTTGAAAGTAAACATACAAAAATAATCATGTTAAATTTAAACTATAACAAATAACATCTACTGATACTTCAAACATACCTTTACAACATTCTCATATAATTACATGTTCACCTTGTCATGTCACTGTGACGAAAGTTTCATGTGACATAAAGGTAATTCCCGTTTATGCAATGTCATTTAAAATTGAATTGATTCTATGAGTATGGAATGTTTCAAAGCAACAGACAACAGTGAATCACACACAGATTTTAATCATGTTTTAATATTTTCATTCAAAATATAAATCAAGCATTACGGATCAGCTAACCTGTATTATATTGTTCTAGTAAAATTGTCCTAATATACATGGCAACATTATTTATTGTTTAATAATCGAACGTCATTTAAACGACTAAAAAATATCGGATATTTCCTAAAAGCCAGTGGTTTTTTTAGTCTTTTTTAAAAGACAACATTAGGTATTTCCATATTATATGCGCAAGAAAGGTTACTTGGCCTCACTAAAATAAGAAAACATTATATATTATACAGAAGGATACATAACTAAAGAAAAAACATTAAATAAATAAATTAAAAGTAACTGAATAATTACTAAGAACTGAATAATTACTAACTGATTAAGGTCTCTAGTGTTTGTCTAGGGGACAAATTTTAATATCAACCAAAATTAATAATAATTGCTTTTAACAAAGAGGTATTCAGCTGGATGACATTCATTGATTATAACTCTGCTTTACAAACGCTATGAAACCACGAAGTACAAATAACGATAAATGAACAATTAAATGACAAACTGAAATGATAAATACTGTAGCGCATATTACACGAATAAACACATCCAATAATTTTTTCTCTAAAGTTGGGTTTCTCAACCTGGAGAGCTTGCAAGCCCAGGGGATGTGAGTTAACATTCAAAAGGGGGGGGGGGGGGCGGGGAACAGGGGGATGGGTTTATGAAAGACATTACCTTTAAAGTTGGGTTTCTCAACCTGGAGAGCTTGCAAGCCCAGGGGATGTGAGTTAACATTCAAAAGGGGGGGGGGGCAGGGAACAGGGAGATGAGTTTATGAAAGACATTACCTTTTTAGTTATGATAAAAATCTTATGTCGTCACTGTTACATAAAATATTCAGCGAATACATAAAAAATGACAGGCAGCTTTGAAAAATGAAGGGTTCACAAAGATCGAAACTAGCATGACGCACCACGAACACCTAAACAACAAAATGATATGTTTAATTTTCGCGCTATATCGTATACTTAATAGGCCCTATATCTCCATCTTTCTATTTCTTTACCAGAATAAAAATTTACACAATATACATATTTAATAATCGCCTGCAAAAATGTGGGGCAGTGTTAATACGACTGCGCACAAGGAGGTATCTCAGATTTTTATTCCGTCTGAAAACAATGAGAGGTGGGGAAGAGAAAATGTGTCAAGTGTCAGTGTCTGCGAGTAGTATAGAAAGGTGTTTAAGAAAAAAAGTTGTACCGAACACCTCCGTAACATTACACAAGATAAACAGTGTAGTGATATTTCTTATTTTTATACCGCTTTTTATATTGTTTTGCTCGCTGACGAAGGCTTTCTGCCGACACTTTCATTGTTTTACCCAAATATCAGCAGCAGATTTACAACCATAAAATAAATGGTTTAAAGTTTTAAAAAATATAATTTTTTTAGAATCAATGCATTTACAAAGCCATTAACAAAGCAATTCAAAAAGCTATTCACAAAGCCTTTTACGAAGCCATTTACAAAGCAACCCACAAAGCTATCCACAAAGCCACCTAAAAAGCCATTCAAAAAGCACCAAAAATAAATTTTAAAAAAACATTAACAAGGCCACCCACAAAGCCATCCAAAAAGCCACCCCCAAAGCCATCCAGAAAGCCATTCAAAAAGCTTAGAAATCCTCAGGGATCGACTGGAAGCACCTGGTCAGTGAAGGTCTGAGGAAGTGGTAGAAATTTGGAGGATACCAGAAAATATGAAAGGACATTAAGAGACCGGAAGGTTTGGATCAAAAATTTTAAAGACATGCTGTCCACTGTGAGTGGAATGGGAAAATTTGAGGAGAGGATATAAATATATCATTCCATTCGTTTCAAAAGGGGTGAAACATCAAGGGGTGTCATGGAGAAGGGGACATATTAAATGCATTGTCGCATGATGGGAAGAATGCTGGACGTTCATGTTGTAGATTTTTAATTTATCCTAACTCATTCACCGATAAGATAACAATATAATACAATCTGTATTGCATTAGTATCGTTATATGGAAGAATTATATTGTTCATTTAAAATAGTATTTCAATTAGGTAATCTGGTAGTTGCATTAGTTAATTTGGTAGAAGCCTTAGTTCAGCTGGTTGATAAATTACCTCAGATTGCCAATCGGTTAAATAGATATTAAAAGACATAGACCGACAAAAACACAAAAAAATTTTAACATTAAAAGGATAGATGATTCAACAGATATGTAACACATGGATTAAGTATTTGAAACCTATATTTAAAAAAGCATGCACACAGAAAAGCAAGAAAAAAAGAAGGAAATAAAGACAGATTTACAAACTTATAAAATAAGACATCAAGAGAAAACGATAAATACAGATACGCAAATAACTCTCGACTTGGACAATAATTTAATATATATATATATTAAAAGATATTCAGACATTCAGATATACATAGAAATTGAAATACATTATTTTCGCTTAAAAAGAAATACAAAATTAACACATGTAGTGAGATTCAAAGACACGAACAATATAAATAAATGAAAAGAGACAGACAGATACGCAGAAAAATACCGTTTATTTGATATATAAATAATATCAAACTAATACTAAAACTATAAATTAAAATTTAGACTACATGACTTACGCGTGTCTTCTGTTCAAGTGACGTATTTCATACAGCTCGGCGTCTTACTCAGACTAAAGCCTGTCTTGTGAAATATAAATCAAAAAGTCTATTTAACTTGGAAAACCTTTCGACAGAACCCATTTAGTTCAATATTGACTATTGGTCGGGCTTTTAGAAACGTGTTAATGGGTCATTATAACATTGTAAATAAGAATTTATGTTTGCGAAACGTGCAATAGCCATAGACATGTAAACATGATTTTGAAAAAAAAAATGTTATTTACAAAATGGTGCCAAGAAGGTTGGCCAAGTGTATAGTTGCTAAACAAGCTACATTTTCCTATTCAACCGTTTTATCTTAAATGTTCTATTTAGTAAAAGAGTACACGTGGACAAAATGTTGACTTTCAATTTCAAATCTTTGAAGGAAAGCAGCAAAATTTAAACATGTTAAAAAATGTGTGTTCAGTGATAAAGGTTTTAGAACAGTAACTACTTATGAGTTAGGAGACCTGGTGTATAACTGGAGTTGCGTCTCTTTGAAACGTATAAAACATATAAATGAGTGGTTTTAAGCTGTGGCTCGTCGAATGAATCATACGCAACAAAGGAATGAACACCGGCATACGGAGGAAAACGATACATAAGTGTATTTTCATATTAATAAGCGTATTCGTGAATTTTCATCCCCGAATTCAATTTAATTATATTACAAAGTTGATATCAAAACTAAAAATGAAATATTCATAAAGAAAATATACAATGACTTATGTAAAAAAAAAATAAAACTATAAAGTTAAAAATGTTAACAACCATACACACAGTCAAAATAATACTATGTCTGCTGATGGGTTCCTGTAAGTTTATTACGTCCCGTAAATAAGTTTGCTGGCAACAGTTGACAATTTGTATTAGAAAAAGTGGGGAGGGCGTCAGAGACCTTCAGAACAGAAAGTCTAGAAATTCTTTTGTAAGAGGGAGTATTTCCCTTAATTTAGTATAATATAAATAATTCTGAAAAATGAAGGGCTATTGGGTAAAGGAGTTGTAAAAGTTACTTAGTGATGTCAGTAATAAAAACAAAGGGGGAACAAAGGTTGCATGCCAAAGCTAGTGGTGAAGAAAAGCTAGGTCAACACACAGGTTATAACACTGTTTATGGATATATAAAAATTATATATGTTTAAACAACACGTTGCCATGTAAATCAATGGCCAATAAAGCACACCCTACGTTTTACACTAAAAAAATACAGTACAGTGGCTTGTGACTACATCATGTCTTCTAATGTATGTATAGTACCTACTAACGTATATATGTTGGCTATGTTGTCTGCTAATGTGTGTGTGGTGCCTGCTAATGTAATTATGTTGTCTGCAAATATAAGTATGTTGTCTGTTGATCATGTTTGATGTCTGCTCACTTATAAATGATGTCTGCTGATGCATTTATGATGACTATTAATTTATGTATCATGTCTGCTAGTTAATTTGTGTTTTTTGGTCCATGACCTTGTATAAATGTACACAATAATGATAAATTCACGAAAACCCATATATGTTACGAAATGTATAGCCATGATGTTGAAGCGTATGAAAAGTACTGTTGATCATGATTATGTTGTCAGTGATGAAGACGACAAGCCATCATCGAGGAATACGAGCTCACTGCTTAAAGCTGCCCAGAAAGAAAATTATTTCAGTCGATGAGCAGATAATTCGAGTCAAAGGCTAAGTCAGTAAGTGCTTGCTTGCAAAACAATTTATCAAAGGAAAAACTAATCTAAAAGAAGTAATGAAAAAATAGCATGCAATAAATGTGCCATACATTCGAACTTTATCAAGGAAAAAGAACTGGAACTCCAGAAAAAAAACCGCCTACAATTGACATTTGGCGCTTTAGTATTTCTACGTCTAGCTCAGTGGTACTCAACCTTCCTGTAAAACAGTTCTTCATGTTGAGGTGACCCCATACCATAAAATTATGTCCGCTGCTACTTCGTAAATATGAATTTTTCAATGGTCATCAGTTTGGCCATTTTACAATCTTTGATGAAAAAGTTAGTCCAAAGATGAAGCAAGAAGGACGTAAATGTCGTAGAAGTTTTAAATGAACAAATTGCAACCTACATCTGTGCTGCCATATTGATGGAGACTTTGACACAATACAAATTCCGACAACTACTTTAACGTAAGACGTCTAAAGAAAACAGTGAAAGACAAGATACACTGCCGTTCATCTACTGCATCCAGGAATATTTCCTTGACTAAGTCTTGCCAATGGAACAAACAGGCAACGTCAGGAGAGGGAGATTGATGAATTAAGTAACTCTTCTTTACACTAAACAAAATATAGCTCAAGTCAAGACTACTACCCAAGTCGAAAATTGGCTTGGTTGTCGTCGCGTGCGAAGCAAGAACAAGAAATA